CAGATCTGGGCATCTCTGTTTCATACACTCTGCCTGCTAATTTCATCACATCATCATGATGAGGGGTAGGAAGAAGAATCAACGTGGACCACGTATCAGGCTATAAAATAAGACAAACCTTCCTTGACAGATAAAATTAATAGGATGTTAAAAGAATTACTTTTAAGCTTCAACAGATGTATTAAATATTAAGTAAAGATAGGTGGGAGAGGACCCATCATTATCAATCAACGTAGCTTAAGTTAAAGTAAAAAAAAACCAGCAAAACCAGCTCAATTCAGTAAAACTATTAAAACTCCCTATGATGTAAAACCAGAGTGACAGGCAGAAACTGTAGCACAATTCAGTCTGTCACTTACAGAAAAACTTTGGTGGCAATTTTTTAATGGTACATTACTGTTGAGTTACAATGGAATTCTTCTGAAATTACATCGGGCATACGCATTAATACCCAATGTGTTCTTTAAGACCATTGTTACCAAAATGAATACAAGAATTAACAGTGTTTAAGCGCTCTGAGTCTTCCTGCCATGCAGCTGGGTAGAACAGTGTCCTGTTCATGGACTGGAATACATCTTTGGGCCACTTCCACCCCAGCTGGCGTGTCCGGCGTGGAACCACAGCACAGGCGTTTGCTGTATTTTTAGCTTGAACCCAGCTCCTCATTAAAGTGTGGCTTGATCACAAACCATCACTTTGTGTTCAAAACAGAGAACAATGTGGGTCAATTAAGCTCCAATAAGGATTGGGTTATAAAAGTCCGTGTGTGGGATTTTTTGGAGGCTCTTCACCTCCCTTCTCTGTAAGGTCAGGAATACCCTGTATCTGCCTCCCCTTGCAACAAGACTCAGAAAATCCCTTTTGGGCTTCCTTGTGGCAGGAAGCAGCTCAAAATGGTAAAAGACAGAAAAAACATCAATGCGTTGGGCCGGGAAATAAGTTGACTGGTAACCCCTGTAACCAGGACAGGGTGGGGAGGGCGTGGGAAAGGCAACGCCAATCACCAATTCCTACCTACTTTGTGTGAGGAAATGAAAATAAAAGCCTGATACTTCTGTGCCCACATCTTCAAGCAGTGTTTTCCCTTCTTTGTGTGGTATCATGACTCCCTATCCCATCACAGACAGACAAGATGAGAAATCTGGGCAAATGGGTGAATGTGAGCGCTACATCAGCAGAGCACGTGGCTTCTCCTCTTCTCTATGCTTTGGAAAGGTTTTTTGGAGTAAAGGGCTCCACAAGAAGAACGAACAGTGGTAGGACTGGCCAGGCGCTCCTGCTGCACCTTGCAGTCATTTTTGGAGCAAGACATTCACTTCACCTTAATCTTCCTGGCTCTGTTTCATTACAAATCATGGCTAAGCAAGAAAAATTTATCACTTACTTTTTAATCCTCTCTCCAAATGATGCTATTTCTTCTAGGATGCTTTGAACAGCTATGATGATCTCTTGGACCATGTGAATTCGGTCAATCAACCCCTTTTTCTCAGATTCCTAACAAACAAAAGGAAAACCAAAACTTTTTATACATTCAGCATTTGTTAAGATGTTACCACGAACAAAGTAAGATTCCCAGTACTGCTGACGCATCCATGAACTCAAGTATATCACTGAAGGAAGGAGAGAACATACACACAGATACAATTATCAGATTATATCAATTACCAGATACAATTAAAGTGAAGACATATAGATCCTTACATTTTCTTCCTATTCCTCAGCACGCAGGCAGAGGTTTCTCAATCTTCTAACACTAACCGACTGTGGGATCTCAAATCAGGATTTCACTGAAATGGTTCATGCCAAACCAGAAGAGATGCTGAGCACTCCTAAGTCCAGCTTACCCACAGGGGAGTGCTGGGTGCTCAGTACTTCTCAAGAAAAAGAATATTCTTGTGCAGAACTTCTGAATATCACTTTTCTGAGCTTTGTAGGCTCCCAACTGTTTTCTGTATATAAATTAGCAGCGAGATAGTGAATGCAATATTTTTTTTGAACATTCTGTATACAGAGTTCTATTCTTTTACTGAAAAAAAAAAAAAGAATCAAAGGAAAAAATGTCATTTTCCTTTTACAGCAGCCATCTCACAACTTCATTTCTTACTGCTTATTTTAGGCAACATTACAGGACATTACTACACATGTGCAGAAATAAAAAGGAAGCACAGAATGAACTAAAAATCAAAAATGACTTAAATCAGCCTTGGAAATCAGTACACAATTATCAGCATTCAGCATTTCTTTGCCAGCAATCTAACACACATACAGGCATGCAAATTGGTGTGGCTGCAGATATTCTAGCAAGAAATCAGCAAAACATTCACTTATTACAAAACGCAGAGCCCTGGACACTGATTTTACATCACATTTAGACTCTCCAAAATCAGCCCAATTTAGGAAAAAGACATTTTAAGTTGTGTTTTAACCAGTCAGTGCCCAGAGAGGGAAGGCGTTGGTAAAATGCAAGTTGCATCCATGTTTTCCATGGTTCTCACCAGTCAATGCAGGGGGAAAGGGTGGGTGGGAGTAAGCAAGGGCCAGAGACACTCGGATCAACACTACTGCAATTCTGCTTCTGTGTTGTGAACCCACGTTATTCCTCCATGCAGGAGAGAGGGTCAGAGGCTACTTAAAGTCACACTGGGCCAGAGAGGTGAAGGTTCATTGCTACAACCTTCTGGCACCGCCGTGCTACAAGAGGGTTCACGTGCATCTGAGACAGGGCAGCACTGCACTGCATCATTCTGGGCTGGAATAACCTATGAACCATCCCTGGACTCCGAGAGGCAGACACCAGAGTACAGTCCTTGTAATCCTTTGAATTACTTATTGCCCATTTCTCTTCAACGTAATTTTTGTTTTTAAAAAGCCAGCCAAAACCATCGTGGAGCTATAGAGCTCCAGACATTTGAATATTTGCCTTTAGGTCGCAAGTGAGTGCACAATGAATAGAAGCAGCATTTTAAATAATCACACATTTGGGTGTGAAAATGAGTATTTTTACATTAATAAAACAACCAACAAAAATGAAACCCTTGGGGTGTGAAATAACCCCAGAACAAAATTAATAAATAAATAGTCAGTTTATGTGAAAATAGCACCAAAAAGTCATTTTCACACAACTCCAGTTATAACCTTGTTAAGCTCAAATGTAAATGACACATTAAGATTATATTTAACCATTCACTCACTAGAATGGTGGAACGGTCCCTTAGCCATCGTTGGCTTTTTTTGCACCAAACCTGGAAGCAGAAACTGGAGAACGGTTCAAGGAGAACCAGCCAGTGGGAATTTCATTCTGTCCAAATTCAGACAGAGGGGTAAAGAAACCATTTTAGATGAAGTGATATTCCAGGGCAAGCCCATTCTTGCTACCCAGAGCTGCAAGGAAGATCATCTGCCAGCTCTATCTGCATCATGCTGACTTCATTTACACGTCTCCGATTGAGCTTAGAAACGTGGTGATAATGCAGTTTAACCAACAGAACATAACTTCTGCTGCAGACACCAAGTAGGCTAAGAAAATAAAACAGAAACTACCAGCTCCTAGGATATAATGACAATTGCATGCATATTCTCACCTAGCATGCATGCTGAAATCACCCCTAGACAATGGCGTTTTCAATTTGTAACACAAAATATGCCCAACCAAGGGAAAGGCAGAGACAGACTGGGATTAGAAAGCCTTGTAAATGAAATCAGTTATTAGGGAGTAAAACAGGCTAGCAACTGCCCTTGCAGTATGCACTGCAACATGTGTGCAGAATCATTTGAAAATCCTGGAAATTTGTCAACATCTTTTCTTTGTTATTATTGTTTTGTTCTGGAAACCTGCAGTCTAAACACATCTACAGGGCAATTAGGTTAAGCACGAGAAATCAGACAAATGAAGTACAAATGGGATTTTCCAAATTATTTAGGTTTTGGAGTGCTGTTTATGCTTTCTGAAGTCAGCACCTCACCAAACACTGTTGGTAGTAGTAAGAGAGCTCACGGTCCTTCAAGATGACAAGTCACTCGTCCATATTTAATAGTAAATGGGCAATTATTATACAGAAAGCTATATTTGAACGTTACCATATTTGTGGAAGATGTAAAAGATAATCCTAAATATATCTTCCACTAAACACACTTTCCATCTGTGCAATGTCCCACCACTCAGATAATTTTTCTCCATCCTCCTCAGGTATGATTTGTTTCTGATTTCTTTTGGACTCAACACATTAAGCTGCTTGAAAGCAGGATTTGCATACCCATGGTTCAAAATCACAACTCGGAAGTTTTGCTTGAATTAAAAATAAAATATCCTGCCTGTTTCTGGCATTTTTCTCCTAAAACCAGTCATGCAAACCCCATTCCTTCTAGGCCTTTTTTTCCCCCCCTTTATTTCTTAGCTGATTACAGCACTGTGGGTGGACCAAAACTAGTCTTCAGCCTCTGGGAAAGAATTAACTCCATCAAAATGCACTTACAACTGAGAATTAATTATATAATCACTGTGTTACTTCAAATCTTCCTTGCACATCCTGATTTAAGAAACCTTCATTTCTACATTAATTGCCTGAACAAAAACACAAAAGGGGTCTTACAAAAGATTAAGTGTGTCAGGGGAAGTAAAAAAAAAAATCACCACCACCACCCAGCAAATTCAAAAATTAAGTCTTTTGTGTTCAGCTAATGTACATCAACTTACACTTGCAAATGAAGGCATCGAAACCCTGCCATGAATGAAAGGTGCTTCCAGATTTTTCTATTTCTGAAATATGTAACAGTTAATAATAAAGGATGCGTAAAGTTAATAAACAGGATGTGTAAATGCACTTAAAGGGTTATTGCAGCTCTGTGATATTCCTTCCTTTCCCTATGACGTTATGCTGCTCCCAGATATTCAGAGACAGTTGTAAAAGAAAGCGTCACACCTCCGCAAAATTGAGGCACTTCCAACAACAAAGACTTTGAAAGTGTGTGAAATATGGGGCCAGCCAGGAGAGGACATCTCCAGGATTAACACAGCAATTCACAACGGGCGAACTACAATGGTCAGAGCTGGGATTGCAAAGGGAAATTGCAAGATCTACACAGGAAGAGACTGAAGGTAAAAATTATCAATTGTCTGGTCTGCCCTGCAACAAAGACCAAATAACGCTGGTTACTGTTACTGAATCAGAAACTTCGATGGTGGAGATCATCTGCTTCTTGTGATCTTTTGTTTCAGTGATCAATAGCTTTCATCTTTACAAAAAGCTGTTCTCTATTTTTTAAATCTATCCTTCAGATATTTTTCCCTCTGGATACATCCAAACCAGTAAGCACCGCTCCAAATGCACAGACAATTTTTAATGTTGTTCTCTAAGTGTATTTCTGATCTATACTGCAAATATCATAGGCAGACAACTGAAAACGTAGGTTTGAAGTCATGAGCAACTTCTAAATACTTGTTTCGCTTGGATTTCACACAAAACACTCACACAAAAAGGAAACTTGCAGGCAACTTGCAAACAAGTGGTATTCATCAGCAGATTTTTGGCATGCCAAGGGAAACTCAATATATAAAGCTGAGGAACACTTCGGGGCAAGGATGAGGAAAAGGGGAGGAGAAAAAATAAATAAGGATTAATGCAAAAGGAGGAAGAAATCAGGATACAGGCAACTAAGTCAGGAATAAAAATCTTGAGTATCTTCAGGAATTCGAAGAGTTAGACTGCCTAGCCCTGGGCTGGGTTAACTTTCAGAATTAGTTTTTTTACAGAAGCTATCTCATTATGCCACTGCTGCTACAAGCACATTAGGGCAATGTTTCACCAGGATTTATCCCACGTACCAGATATGAATTCCCCAGTGCGTTAGCAACAAACAAGATTGATGGAAAGGCAAAAGAATGGAAAAAAGCTCAGGCATGCATGTCTTTTGGCTCCACTATTACTCTGGGTTTTAAAAAAGAAAAAATATATTTAAAATGCTGTAGTTAGTTAGAGAAAAACAGACTTAGCCAAAGTTGGATTTCACTTGCAACTTGCTCTGTGCTAGGCTACAAAACACCAACCTCAGCGGTGTCCAACAAAACCTGTGCCAAACAACATCTTAAGGCCATAATATTCAAAGATGAAGAACTTCTGAAACCAAAAAGATTTTACTGGGTATAAAGAGCAGATCACTGGCCTCTATTGTCTGCAGGGAACCGTTCCCTAACAGCTTCAGTCTAGCAGCAGAACGAAGCTCTGGTGGGAGGTGGTAGCCATGGAGTGACAGACAGTCTCTTGGTAGCTAAAATGAATTCCAGGCAGAGCTTTGAAAACAGTCACCACAGCAACCTTGAACTGGATCCTGCCTTCGGTGGGAGCCAAAGGCAGCTGAAATGAACCCAGCAATCTGCCTTGCTGAGTCACTGTCTTGCCCTGTGCTGAGATGTCTGCTGCATGTCAAGAAGGGCTGCTCAGCACTTCCAGGAGGAAGGGTACCCGGAGAGGATGGCTGCCAAGCTCTGAGTGATTGCC